GTTGCTTAGCACCTCGCTGTAGCTGAGGCTGGCTCACTATTTCCCTATCTCAGCCTCCCGAGCTGCTAGGATTACAGGCATAGGCTATGGCACCTCGAAATATATCATTTTTGTGTGTGTGTGTGTGTGTGTGTGTGTGTGTGCAGAAATTTTTATTGTCTGGATAAGTTAAAATCTTCAGTGTGAGGTATAAGGTTCTATGATTTTGACCTTGCTTTTCCTGCCATTCTTGTGTACAGTGGGATTTCACAATCAGCCGCCAAACTAGTTGAAGGCAAGTTTCAAAACTGACCAGAAGTTTTATTTTAGCTTTTTTCTCCCCTACATAGAGAAAACTTTCTTCCTAGAACTTATCAGAGGAAAGTAATTTCTATTTATTCTCCTACCCTCCTTGCTTATAGCCCTGCTTTCTCTTAGCAAAGGAGAATAAAGCATATAAAGAAGGAAATTTTATTATAACTTTTTTGTTCCCACCAAAAACATTTTTCTATTCCTCCTCCTACTTCATGAATAACTTACACATGCCTTGTATCCCCTACCAACTACAGATCTGTATTGTTCTTACAGCCTATTGAAGGGCTATAGAGGTTTCCTAAAGGAAAGCTCTTCCAACTTCTAAACTAAAGCCCCTCCTCCCCTCCTCCCCCTCCCCTCCCCCCTTCCCTCCTCCCCTCCAATTCAGGGTCTCCTGCAAACTAAGATAGCATTCTTCCACTGAACTGCAACAAATGGAAAGTTTAAATATGATCTCAGTGTTAAATAATGTTAACTAATTGTTGACAATTTTGTTAAATGTGATGATGGTGTTGCTACATCCAGGTGATGACTTTGAAGCTATCCCTGTTGCTTTCTAGCTTTGTGAATTTGGGTAAATTACTTAGCCTTTGTGCTTTGGTACCTGTTTAGTGACAGCATAGTGCTTGACAAATGTTCATCTGAGAAACAGAAAGGGAACTGATAGCATGCATAAGGGGTCAAGCTTGTGGGGTGACCTCACTTTATAATAACCCACTTTCTTGAGAACTCATCCCACAAGAACCCACACTAATTCCTTCTGAGGACAGTGACTTCATCACCTTGGACAATGCCTTACCTCTTAAAGATCCCACCATTTCAGCATTGCTGATTTGGGGACCAAGCCCCCAGTACACAAACCTGTGGGGGCCAAACCACAGCCAAATACAGCAATCTCTAAGTCAGAACTTTACATTTCAAGTACTACTTCTTTTAAGATGTTTTTATAAGGAAAAAAAAATGTGTCCTTGCTAATTTATAATTTTTAAAAAAGGCCTGTGTTCAGATCCTTAAAAAAGATATTTTAAGGAGAGTAATGCTATAGGTGACTATTCTACCTAGATTATGTTGTCCGATCTTAAGATCATTGATCTTTCTCAAAAAGTGCCATGCCCAATTTGAACTTGCTGTGAAATGTAATTTGGGTAGTGAAATTTATTAGGCTTTCTATGGTTTTAGGCATTTCCTAATGGAACCTACTTGAAGTATATTGCTACCCTCAATGATTATTTTCATGTTTAAATTAGAATCTCTGTGACCTCTAATGAAACAACCAGGAGAGCTCTTTGGACTTATGCATGTATTGAGGATTTTATTGTCTTTTTTCAGTAACTCTTTCAATAGCTAAACTGAGAATTTGGCTTAAGAGAAAAGTTGTCATGTTAGAAATCAGAGTTGCTCAACTATAAAACTTTTAATGTATTTTTTAAAGATACCATGTTTAACATCCATGAAAACATCATTGAAAATTTTCATTCTTCATTCATTCAACAAATACTTTAAACGCCAGGCACCACTTTTGGTTGTTCAGTAGAAACAAAAATACACACCCCCTTGAGGCTTTCATTGTGGTGATAATGCAATAGTGAGTAGAAATTGAAAGTTCATTGTTAATAAAATTCTGCAGAGGTGTTCCTCTCTCCAACTTGTCATTTTTAAAATTAACAGTTGTGAGCCACAGGCCAATACTGAGCACTTGCAATGTGGCTAGTCCAAACTGAGATGTGTATTGACTGTAAAATGCACACTAGATTTCAAAGAATTTGTACAAAAAAAATGTAAAGTATGTAGGTCATAACTTTATTAATTATGTGTTAAAATTAATAAAACTAATTTCTGTCCTTCTTTCCTTCCTTCCTTCCTTCCTTCTTTCCTTCATATCAGGGATTGAACCACTGAGCCACATCCCCAGGCCTTTATATTTAAAAAAACTTTTTTTTTTTCTAAATTGCTGAGGTTGGCTTTGAACTTGCAATCGTTGTGCCTCAGCCTCCTGAGTTGCTGGGATAACAGACATGTACCACCATGCCAGCTTATTTATATTTTTTTGTAATGTGGCTTGTAGAAATTTTTAAGTTACATGTGTGGTTTGTGTTTATGACTTATGTTGTATTTATTTTTGACTGCTCCACTCTAAAGATTAAGCTTATTTTCCATAAAATGTAAATATAATTTCATAGGTCAAAGTTAAGAAATGTTACCTGATCACAAAGAGAAGACCAAAAAAAAAAAGAAAGAAAATGTGTGTTGCTAACCCTAGAATCCTGTTGTTACTAAAACTTGAAAATGTGTGAGTTGAACCTAACAGAACCAACTCTTTGTAACCATCTGATCTTTTTTATTTTTATTTTTTCCATGCCTCTTCTGTCTGAACCTTGATGATTCCTCACAAAATAGTACGGTAAGAAAATCGTTTCTCTCCATTCCAGGCTGTGGCAGACTTTCTGCATTAACAGAGATATGGACAACAGACACAGTGTCCTTCACTTGAGGTGGCCACCTGGCCACCCTATTAGACAGTGTGCTGTGTGTGTGGTGCTTCCCCAGGCCTGGCAGCTGAGGGAAGTGGGGAGAGGGTGGGGAAGAATAGAGAAAAGAGGAGAGAGGGAAGGAGCAGCAGCTTGTGGTGGTTCTTCTGCAGCAGGAAGGTGTCCAGGGCTAGATTTCAAAACAGAGGCAGATCATGGTGCTGTGTATTTCTGTTTGAAACAAGCCACAATAAAGAATCATAATGGAGTAAAACTATTTTCCCATTTAGTCCAAAATGTGTAAATTTTCTCTTTTCAAATATTAATCATGAAATTCCTTATTGTTCTAGAAATTGATGAATTTCTGGCAGCATGTATTGATATGTATCTCCAAAAAAGGAAGAGAAAAGTGGAGTTTTGTTCTATGTAGAAAGTGTGTATTATAAACTCTCTAAGGCTAGGTATTTTTACTAAATTAGTGTTAAAGTGATTTTTACATTTTATGCTATTTTTAAGGGATATATTTGAAGTGTGACTCATGCTTATGACTCAGTCATAAATGTATATGTAGTTCTTGGCATGCCGAACTGTCTCATGTAATCTAACACTGATCATGCTTAAACTTTTAATATGACCAGTTAGCCAGAAGACCTCCAGGACTACTTATGGTTTCACATCTATTGTCTGCTACTACTGTGCAAGAAGACACCTTTATACCTGGTGGTAGAGATAAGCCCTAGACTCCTCAGGTTCCATCATAGCCCTCGGAGACTGTGCATGACAGAGATAAGACTGCCATACAGGTGGGGGCGGTGAAAAGAGGTTGAATGGAAAAGTGATGAAAGTAGACCAAGTGGAGAAAGTCCTAGTCAAAAAGGAGGAAAAGGAAAGTCACTATGGAATGAAAATGAAATGACACCCAGTAAAGGACAGGTAGAAGAGAAGTCAGTAGGTAAGGGAAAAGTGAGCACTTCTCCTTACAGAGATAGGGGAAGGGAAAGGAAATAAAAATGACTGTCCCTCATTGGAATACCAGAGAGTAAAGCATAAGCAGTGAGTATCTTATTCAGATATTAGCCAGTTTGAATACAAAAAGACTAATTAGCTATTCCAGAATTTCAGAAATTCTGTAACCAACCATTCCAATTTGAGAGGTGATAACTTGTGCGTTAGACCCTGAATCTTTACCGTCCTGGCTGAATAGGAACTTTGACATGATTCTTTTAAGCATGAGCCTCATGATTTACATTTCAGCATGTTAAATAAACTTCAAAATATTTTTATATCACACAAAATGTAATTGTCATTATTCTTGTATTTCTCTTGGTTTCTTCTCAGAGAATTTTCGGATTTTAATGATGCTCAATGTATTCCACCTCTGTATTTGTGTATGATAGGCAAAAGTCCAGCAAGGAACTCTTTCACTGTTTAATGTTCTGATAATTAACTAAAAGGGGCACTTGACCAACAAAGTGTGGATCCTTTCAGATTTTAAGATACTATTGTTAAATTCTATATAAAACAGTTCCAGTTTAATGGAGAAAAGCCACTGGCCTTTTAAAAAAAATTTTAGCCTCAGAAATTAAATTGGGCATGGTTGCTATTAACCATGGACAACTTAATTTTGGTAACCTTGAATGGCAGTAATTGTAGGATGAAATAAAAACTGTTGGTCCATTTCTTTAAGTTTTTGCTACTATTTCAAAAGTATTTTCCAGTCATAATTTCTTAGGGCCTGGGGGAAGATCTCTGATCTTAGAATAGCTCATATGAGCTAAAAAACAATTTCTTCCCTTATTAATTTTTTTCTTCAGAAAAAGTACCTTTTAGGGTTTTTAAGAGTTAATATCTGAATTAAAACTTGAAAAAAAAGTAATTTTAATAGATTTAAACAATTAGGGAGAATAGTTCTAGCAAGGTTTAAATTATAACCAGAGTGAACCATGTAAAGAGTTGGTCTCATTTTTAAATTCTTTAAATGAATGGAACAATGAGATTATTTAGTTGGAATCTGAAAATTGGTAGGGATCTTAGTAAACAACCTAATTCTTTCTCGAGTTGGGCTCCTTTGTGAGAACTGCCTACTCATATGAAAGCCCTTGAACAATCACACAATGATAACCACCCATGAATTAACCCAGTGAACCTGCAGCATGTAAAGATGAAGATTGAGGAAGATTGCACCTGTTCATGGCTCTACCTTAACTCTTCCCTCTCTTCTTCTCTCATGTTTTGTAGCACTTCTGGGGCCCAGTAGCCAACTGGGGTCTCCCCATTGCTGCCATCAATGACATGAAGAAGTCTCCAGAGATCATCAGTGGACGAATGACATTTGGTAAGAACACAGACTGTCATGATTCAGAGGACTTCACACATAGCAGAGCTGTTGCTCACATTTCACATTTGTAGCATCAGATGTTACAATCATTAGTAAAACGTGACATAAAGAATATGGTGACATTGAAGAGTGTCATCTTTTTCACTATGATGAAGAAATAGAATTAATTTGAAGTACTTAAAACCAAGATTTCTTCATTTCTACTAGGGATTGGGTTGGGGGCCTGCATAAACTGCAGGCTTTTGCAGCTAAGAAAGCCCTTTAAGTGTTGCAGCTAATTAAAGTAGGGGATGCCTGCCAATGTCAGTTCTGAGGGTCACAGTTGACAAAGCCGTACTCTTTTCCATTATTATCAAGCGATGTGTTAGAGTTCTTAATTGTGGACTATGCTCTCCAGCATTGCAATAGACCCAAGCAGCTCACTACCAATTTCTTCTGGGTTTTTGTCTCACAAAACCCAAGAAAGAAGTTCACGGAGAATGGAAGGCAAGAGTGAAAGCATGAGAAGGGGACCCTATAGCAGGTTGCCTCTTGAGTGTGCTAGTCTAAGGGTTTACAAAGCTCTTGGATCAATACTATTTGTCCAAATTTCTGCTAAACAGGTTTTAGAAAAGTGCCAACACTATTGGTTAACTCTTGAGCCCAAACATTTCTGCAGTCATCATTCTGGTCTGTCCCCACTTAATTTTCTTTTTAGTTACCAGCCTGTGCTGGGCCACAGCATGTTGACACGTCAACACGTCCACAGGCCAAAGTGCCCTGGCTCTCCTTGGCCTTGTTCACCACACTTCAGGCTCACACGGCCCCAGCCTATGCTCACTGCCTGCACTCCAGCCCTCCTAGGCCACTGCTCCAGGACAAGGGCTTGGCCTCAATACTTAAGAAATATTAACATTCACCTTTAAGATTTAGTATACCGAGCTGAAAAATATGCCACCTTAATCCTGCTGATAGTCAACTAACAGATTTTTTTTTAATATTTCTTTTTAATTTTAGGTGGACACAATATCTTTATTTCTATGTAGTGCTGAGGATCAAACCCAGTGCCTCATGCATGCAAGGCAAGCACTCTACCACTGAGCCACAACCCCAGCCCCCACAGCCAACAGATTTATGTTGTAAACTTGATTTGGAAGAGTGTCATCAAGTTTACTTGAAACCCTGATGTTTGAATATAAAACTATTGTTAAAAGCATAAACAGTAGTTCTCTCAAATGATGGGTTATAAACAGTTCTAAGAGGCAGAAATGTGTCAAGAATTTGTTTCCATTTATTCTTGCTAACATATATGTTCCTAAAATGTTTAAGTGATAACAAAAATGCCTCCACAGTACAGTGAAATATTTCATGAGCTTCCTACTAGAGACAGTACCTTTTATAGTACCTTTTATGATCTGCCATGGGTTTTAGCAGAAGAGTGTCCTTTTTTTTGGCTAATGCTGTGGACCCATTGGTCTCTGGTCCCTTCAGCCCTAAGCTATGTAGATGGTAAGTTATTGATGTTTTTTGCTTTGGTGTTTCTGCAGCCCTCTGTTGCTATTCTTTGACATTCATGAGATTTGCCTACAAGGTGCAGCCTCGAAACTGGCTTCTCTTTGCGTGCCATGCAACAAACGAAGTAGCCCAGCTCATTCAGGGAGGACGGCTTATCAGATATGAGTAAGCAGATTTGAATTACTTTGCTTGGAGAAATTGGGGAGAAAGAAACCAAGACCTTGTGCTAGTGGCAGTGGGGAGCTGGGATGCTAGGTGGAAAAACCTGACTTATTTAACATGAAAATAAGATATTTCAGTTTTTGTAAAATCTTAAGTTAAAATAAGCATATGGAAAGCTGTCTTCTAAAGTCACTTGGAGCAGCGTTTTCTCATTGAATTTTTCTTTGTGATTATTTCCAGGATGACTAAAAAGGCATCTGCATAGAAGTGGAAGGAACAAGCTCTTGAAAGGACAGCACCCCAGCTACTGCTGCAGAGTCACAGATTCCATCAGCATGAATAGGAGGAAATGTGGAATGCTATTTTTACTAACTGTACCATTTTTATAGATATAGCTGGGAGTCCCTAAACAAATTCTCTGCTGCCTTACAAGTACTGAATATTTTTTCTTCATAGAGTAGCTCAAAATATGCAATTAACTTAATAATTTCCAATGATGGTTTTATCTGTATTCATACACATATTATCTGTTGGGATTTGCTTAATGAAAAACTGAACAGCAAAATTTTATAATACTCACATTTAAATACTCAGACTTCTTGACTTTAATGACTGCAAGATATCCAACAACTTAACACATACCTAAAATCTGATCTTCAGTGTTTGAAAAACTGTCTTGTATTTCCATGCAGTATGTACATTGAGATGCTGTAACTTAAATGGCAATAAATGATTTAAATATTTGTTATATGAACATGCCTAAATATCTTGCTTTATTTGCTAGGGAACTGCAGAACAATATGAAAGACACTATAGGTGAAAACTATAATTCCTTGAAAATTATTAGAATTTCCTGAGGAAGTGAAGAGTCAGAAGGCCAATTTCTTAGAAAAGTGCTACAGTCCCAGCTGTTCAGAATGTATATGCCCCTGCGTCGCTGTTCCTGTTTCTCTGGGCCTCACGCAGCCCTGTGAAGCAGGTAGGACCTTTTATAGAGGAAGTATCATGGTCATGGTGCAGAATTTGTGAAACACTTGGTATTTAGCAGGACCAGGTCACCTCACCTCCCTGCCTGCCACACTGATCTGGGGCCATGGCAGGACGGACTCAACCAGGTACAGTGCCAAACAGGCTCCCTTGGGCTCATTCTTCCACAGTTCCCTAAAGTGGAGTAGAGTTTTGTTCAAGGAATCAACACTAGGATCCATAGGTTGTTTCATTAGGTTTAGCCATTCCAACTGCTTTATTTATCATAACCACTGAAACCACCTCAGGCCTCCTTCTCCAGCGTTAATGAATGTCAGGGTTTGTGGTTTTGAGTTTTTGTCTTCCTTTCAAAGATCCCATCCTGTCAGTCTCGAACTGAGGAAGAAGCAAGAAGATATTCCATACTTCCATCAGAAGATTCGCCAGCCCACCAAGTGGCGGCAGTGGAAGTAAATCTAAGCACAGGAGCTGCCGGGACCCAGGAACAGATACTGCAGAAGAGTCCCCGAGAGAAAAACAAGCTCAGGTAAGCAAGAACATAAGGAGATGAGGTCTGCCCAGTACTTTCTGCTAGCCAGAGCTTTGTCTGAAGAGACAGACTTGTGACTAAATACAAGCAGTGAGTGTGAATGCTCACGTGGCCTCTGGAGTTGCTATGGGAGCCACAGACTGCTAGCTGAGCAGTCATTAGGAGCCAAGTAGAGACTGATGGGACACCTCACTCAGGGCCACAGGAAGATCTCAGCTGTCATGCTTCCCTTCCACATAGCTGAGTTCTTCAAAAACAACAGCAAGAATGCAAGATGAATGGCTGAAGCAAAGGGAAGGTGTGCATTTTCCTCTGTTGGAACCCAATTCTTACTTTACTGCAGCATTGAGGTCAGTTATGAAGAACTAAATTCCAGACAAGATTTTGTTCAGATCCTTGGTTCCTTTAAGTTTACCACATCCAGTGTCTACTGTTAGCAAAAAGAGCACTCAAGAGTAATAGTTTAGGGCTGGGGATGTGGCTCAAGCGGTAGCGCGCTCGCCTGGCATGCGTGCGGCCCGGGTTCCATCCTCAGCACCACATACCAACAATAAAAGATGTTGTGTCCGCCGAGAACTAGAAAATAAATATAAAAAAAAAAAGAGTAATAGTTTATAAGTAGTAGCTTTATCAAAATACGGTCTGACCAATTATTTAATCCCCCTGGACTTGGAGACAGAAGACTTCCTGGGCAATACTGACTCTTAGTTCTGGGAATTTTCTAACACTCCTTTATCCTACTTGAGCTGTGTTTTCTAGAAATATGTATATTGCCACAGCTCTCAGTGAATGCCTGTTATATTCTAAGAGAGCGGCATGCATGGCAATGTTCAGTTCTAAGGACTAGAAACCACATTTGGCGTCTTCAGTCACCAACTTTATGACTTTTAGAATTTTGCAGTACTGGGAATTGAATTTAGGGGTGCTCTACCACTGAGCTACAGTCCCAGTTTTAAAAAAAAAAAATCTTGTGATAGGGTTTCACTGAGTTGCTTAGGCTGGCCTTGAACTTGCAATTCTCCGGCCTCAGCCTCCTAAGTAGCTGGGATTACAGGTGTATGCCACCATATCCATCTGTGGCCATGGTATTTGGTGTGTGTTGGAAAACAGCAATATAATCACATTACTGCAAGAAGGCTGGCTTTAAAATAATAAGCCACATAGTGAAAATGTGCAAACTGAGTTGGGCTGGTATAAAACAATTACATTAAAAGTGGGACTGGGGGGGCTGGGGATGTGGCTCAAGCGGTAGCGTGCCCGTCTGGCATGCGTGCGGCC